AAGATTCCCATTCAACTCTTCACATGTCTTGTAGATTCCAGCTACCAGAGGTGTTCCTTGCTTGTTCATTTCTGCTTCTCCACAACCACATTAAAATTCTTATCATGTGTGTCTGATGTGTGTGGTATGTAATCAACACTTAAATGTTTACTATGGGCTAGGCACTCTCTTAAGGACTTTATATATATTAACTCTTAATCGTCATAAACGGTATCAGATACTGAAGTAGATTACTATTTTTATTGCCATTTTTACAAGTGAGGACACTAAGGCAGAGAACTTAATAACCGTCAGAAAAGTCACATAGATTTATATCTGGAGTTGAGGTTGAATTCAGGCAGCCAGACTTCTGTTTTCATACTTTTAACTACCACTAGCTGATGTCTACCAAGTTTTTATGAGGGATTCTCTTTGATTTAGAGTAAATTCTAAAGGTGTGAAGTAAGTTAAATGTTAACCAATAGCCTTAATGCTCCCAGATGGTATTTGTATTTTAAAAGAACAACCTTCTTAATCCAATAGAGAAACTGTTTAAAAATAAAGTCCTAAGGTAAGTACCAAAAGGAAAAAAACACAAGAAATTTGGCCTCTTACTGGAACACACGTATAGTGCTGTAATTTTAAACTGCTTGGTTTTAATTTGGGGGTTAATGTGCATATTTTATTTCTTGGATCGTAAATCAGACCAGCTTTTTTATAAACCAGCCAGCTTTTTATACTCAGTCCTTACTTTCCAGTTCCCAGATCCGGTTTCAGCTGGTCTGAACTTGTTGTCGTTTCATAAACATTTCACCTTTAACATTCCCATGCTTTTGGACGTGCTGGTTTATGCTGCCTGGAATGCCCATAATAATGATGATCATAATAATTTTAATTTTTATACAGGGCATTGATTCAGATCTAGGACGTTTTTGGTTCTAGATTTTAATGATCATGCCCCCTGCCTCTTTCAATTCCCTTGGGTTGTGGAATCTTACTTCCTTGGCCTCCTCCCTTCTCTTGTCATTGAAACCCTTGCTTAACCTAAGAAGTAACTTTAATATCCTTTGTTAAAGATATCCCCAGTCACCCTTTCCTCATTATCTTTTCTTTTCCAAAAGAGCACTTACGAATTTTACAAATTGTAAAACCAAATTTTGCAGTTGGTTAATGGATTTATCGACCCTACTAAAACATGTGACTTCTTCAAGGAGAGAAACCTACATCTAGATTTTTCACTTTCCCTTTCCTTCCCCATCATTCATGAATGCCCAATAAATATTGAAGGAGTGAGTCTTCTTAAAACTTTATCCCATTTCCAAAGGCTAAGGAAAGTAGCTCCCTAAAACTGGGATCAGAGACAGATGGTAAATTTGAAAGGGAGCTGGAAGTTTGGGGAGAAGGCAGCAGGAGATGGAAATGCCCATGCCTACCACAGTACCGCAGAGCTCTAACCCTGGCCTGCCAGTATGGTAGGTAGTAACCACTAGCCACACGTGGCTTTTTAAATGTAAAGGGATTAAAAATTCAGTTCCTCAGGTGTCCTGGCCTCATTGGAAGCACTTCAGTAGATTCTAATACCTGGTGGTTAGTGGGCAGCTCCGATAGAATATTTCCATGAATGCAGAAAGTTACATTGGAACCTTTAGTTATTACTTCCAGTAAGCATTCTTTGTAGCCCTTCCTTAATTTCCAGATTTTAAAAGTAGGATGTAAACTTAGAGTTAATGTTTAAGGTAACACACAAGACTTCAAAGGAGGTTTTACTTATATGGTGCTGTGGATATATTCACTTAACTTCTGTTGTTAAAGATCAGTTAGTAGAAAATTCAAAAAAAATCTCATTTTCATAGTGTACAGTGAAATTTTAAGAACCAGTTCTACTTTCTGATTTGCTTTATCTTCGGTATCCTTGAAGTAAATCCTGTTTTTTAGTATGCTGGAGGACCTCATTACATTGGCATTTTTTTATTTATATAAAACCCGATCATTTCCATTTTTGCAGTGAATGCCTGACACCTCTCAATTAGAACTTCTTTTTAAAGATCAAAATTTATGAATCATGTGGATATTTTGGGATTTTTTAATTGGTTTATATGGGTTGTATAAAATGGTGTTATAAAACTTTTCATGGATTTATTGTGTGCCTAGAATATGCATATTGCGATAGTCTGAGTAAGAAACGTCAAGAAAAATAACTAAAGTTTAGAAATAGAGAATTGGAGTAGCTTATTACAGTCGTAAAGTCTTTTGGCTGCCTTTACAGTGCAACTGAAAACGTGAAATTTGTTGCAGTTTGTGTGTGAATTCATCAGGACAAAACACTAGATGTCAGTATTGTAGTTTTGACATTTTACCAGGAGCTGGTAGACTTCTGTTTTTAATCACCCAGCTCTTCTTCATCAACACAAACTTTTAAGCTGTTATGCCTCTTTACATTTAGATTCATTTCTTACTAGGAGAAGCACTTGTCACAGAATTGTTTATTTTGCTTTTAATATCGGTGCAGTGCTACTAACTCAGGAATAAAACATGTATATATTTTTTCGTCCAATTACATTCTCTAAACTTTGTTTCTCAGTGTACTTTCCAGGGAACACTGGTCCTAGGAGATGCTTCTCAGGGAAAAACTGTGTGACTCTGAAATCTGGTATATAGTAGACAGTCAGACTCATTGAATTGAATGATGGTGCTAAAAGCTTTTGTTTGGCAAAATCTAAGTACTTTTTAAAATGTTTTATAAATAATAAAGTTCTTAAATCACCTGTATTTGCTTGTCAAAGCTTACAGTCACACTTTCTTAGATTTTGTACATTAACCCAGCATGCAGGATACAGAGAAAGCTTCAGATTAAATATGTGGCAAATAGTTTCTACTTAAAATTTTTCTTCCCTTTATAAAGAAATGTGCAGAATGTCCTGACTCCTTATTTCAGCTCAGGCCGTGGTCTCAAAGTTGTGTGAGGCTCCTCACTGGGCTCTGTGCCTGCTTAAGACTCTCTCTGTCTCTCTCTCTCTCTGTCTCTCCTCCCCTCCCCCCCCCTTTCTGTCTGTCCCACTCGTGCTCGCTCTCTCTCAACAAAAAAAAAAAAAAAAAAAAGGAAAAGAAATGTGCAGCATAGCATAGTAGGGCAGTAGAATTATTAGCAATTTCTCCCATTATCTCATTTACTTTTTGATAACATTGACACACTTATCACGCTTTGAAGGTACTTTATTTTTGCTTATGTGCTTGAGGTTCATTTTTTTCTATATGTGTAAAATGTTTCATATGTTTTTATTTTCCGTTTCCTAATGTTAGAAATTTTCATCTGAAATGTATTAAATAATTTGGTTTTACATCTTTTTCATTTCATAAATTCCCAATACTTAAATAAAGGTATTAATAGCAGAATTGCAGGTATTACAATGACTAGCAAAGTCGGATCTTTCTGGCACATCTCTCTTAATTCATGACCTATAGGGGAGATAGTAGAGAGGATCACCCAGAAGTTAACAGCTGACTGTACATTCAGCTCCTTTTATTTTTGTCATGACAATAAGCTGAATTAAGGGAAAAAAAGAAAGGATATTTAAAACAATATGCACATTTAATTGAAATTACTTAGGGAAGGGGGGAGTTGAGTTGAGGGGCAGGCAGGTTATTTTGAAGTAAGAACAAAAAACAATGAGACTTCTCAGAGGTAGGAGCAGACGTCCTGGCTATGATGCTTCGCTCTGGTGCGGGGAGATAGACCCAGCACAGACTCCCCAGAACGCGGTGCTTTTTTAGCTCCTCTTCTGCTTATGAAGAAATATTCCAAGTTACTAAGCTGTTGGATGATTGTCTCCTTTGAAGGATTTCCTAATAAGCTCCATAGGCTTCTGAAGAACAAAACAGAAGCTGTCCAGAAGGCTGTGGCTCTTGTCAATGTAGGCATACCATGCTGGTGGTCCTGTTGGTCAAGTGCATTGAGCTCCGGAAGTTGAGAAAGCATGCAAAACTTAAAGTTCAAGAGCTTCTCAGCAAGTTGATTTTTAGGCAAGGCCACTGATTAGACTCTTCTTTCTGCCGACCTTCTGACCCCAGCTATTTGAGTCTTAAAAGATGAACAAGCTGGCAGGAGTGCCTGGGTGGCTCAGTCAGTTAAGCGTCTGACTTCCCCTCAAGTCGTGATCTCATGGTTTGTGAGTTCGAGCCCCACATGGGGCTCTGTGCTGTTAGCATGGAGCCTGCTTAGGATCCTCTGTCCCCACTTCTCTCTTTCCCTCTCCCACTTGCATTCCCTTTTTCTCTCTCTCAAAAATAAATAAACATTAAAAAAAAAAAAACCCAGATGGACAGGTGGCAAATAATCCATCTGTACTTTTCGTGGAGATTGTGCACGATAAAATTCCAGCAGTCCACTTTCATAGCCGCGGCTCAGAACTTGATGTTGTCATTCAGTTGCCATTTAATCTTCAGGATCTTCGGTGGATGTTACTTTATTAGATTATTTTTCAGAAATGTTAAAACACCTAACTTTATAATGTTATGTGCAAATTCTATAAAAGAAGACTGTGTTTTTATGTTTGTTTTATAGATTTTCACACACACAAATAGAGAATTTTAAATCTCTGGGTCAAATCTCCAGAGAGGTTATTCTGACTTCCTGTACCATGGAGACATTATACCATTTTCTTGATGAGTTTAATGACACAGTTAAGGCCCATGGACTTGAACGCACCCTGCACTGCCCCCATGTCAGTACCTGCTGCTGCCTTGATGGCTGAGAGGTGGTGTGGGCTGTCGGATTTGTTTCTCCTACCTGGGTCCTGGGTGCTGAGGCCCAGCATGACTGGGCCAGGTCTTTGGGGCCTGATGACTGCAGGGTGGAGGGTCCTTTTGCCCTCTGCTGGCATTGAGCTGCGGGACTTGAAAAGCCCCCTCTTGCAGGAGCAGAGGCAGATGGAGGACTGTCAGCTTTAGAAAGGCCCTGGGGGTCGGCATGGCCTTGGCAGCCTCTTCCTCAGGTGTTAGAGTTAACTTGTTTCTACTCTTAGGTTCTGTAAGAAGCTGTGGGCCAGAAAAGGATCACTTTTCTTCTGATGATGAAGCAGCGGAAGCTGATAATGAAGATGAAGTTGAACCCAACGGCAATGAAAATGGAAATGCACCCGAAGCTAGTGTTGGAACTAATGTGGGCTGGGCGGATGCCATGGCCAAAATTCTTAACAAAAAAACTCCTAAAAGCAAACCCACGATTCTGGTCAAAAACAGAGAGCTGGAAAGGGAAAAAGAAAAGTTAAAACAAGAGAGACTGGAGAAAAGAAAACAGGTGTGTCTTACTGGCTGTTTTGTAGATCAGACTGTTTGCCTCGTCTGGTTACTATCTGCACCGAATCCTTCCTGGCGGTGTTGGTCCAGTTCCCATTCTGGCTGTTAACTGGCTTCTGACACAGGGGTGAATAACCACAGTTTTGTTCAGAAACCTCATCTAAATTACTCCGTTGAGCACATTCACTTTTTAAGCATCTAAGCAAAGAAATAGAAATTAAACTCCCAAGAAATTTATCCTTTTAAAAGCAAGTAAGTTATACATGTGGCAGTGACTCCTAGGGCTAAGTATTTCATTCAGTTTTGCTGTTTGTATCATCATCATTAGGTTCTGAACCAATATAATCCTGTTAGTTACTTTTTGCTAAAAACCTATTTTGTAATATAAATCTATGAAGATGTCATCCTCAGGGATTGGTTGCAGTTCTGCAAACGGACTATTTCAGTGCTAGATAAACTTGAATTCATTATAACTTTGGTTAAAGCACTGATGATAGAAGTTAGACTCACACTGTCTGCTGATTAGAGGGCAGAAGTTGGACTTCAGTTTGCCATTGTATATTATAAAAATAAAGAAACAAGATTTTTAAATCTCTTGTACTTGATGATGTATTTTTATGTCTAAAATACTTTTTAATGAAAGAAAAATAACTTTCAATAATCTTACTGACAATGTAAAAGTACTGATTTCCAAGAGGTACTTCCTAGGTAAAAAAAAAAGAAAAATACATTTGAATTGGCATATATTTCCTTTTAAGTTCATCATCCCCCTTCCCTTGTTTCAAGGGAATTGTTTTCTTTGTTTCTAATGCTAGTTACTCTGTGCAGAAGGCTATATGAAGATGAGCTTTCTCAAGTGTTGCGTTTAGAAACAGTTATTAATTCAGTATTCTCATTTTACTTTAAGATAAATTTTATCTCTAAATCTTACTAATAGCTTTTCAACTGAAAAGTTGAATCTTTATTTTCTGACAAAAGCTGGAGGAAGCTTTAAAAATAAGATCCTTAATTACTTCTAGCCCCAGTGTTCTAGTGAAGGTAAGAACATTTTGAAGCCAAGAGAAATGGGTCTCTTCACTCTGCTCCAAGACAGTGCTTTGTAAGCTAGAGATGATACTGTTCGCATAACGTATGAAAACATTGGGACGCCTGGGTGGCTCAGTTGGTTAAGCATCCAACTTCGGCTCAGGTTATGATCTCACGGTTCGTGGTTCTAGCCTTGCGTCAGGCTCTGTGCTGACAGCTCAGAGCCTGGAGCCTTCTTCGGATTCTGTGTCTCCCTCTCTCTCTGCCCTGGCCCTGCTCACACTCTGTCTCTCAAAAAAGTGAATAAACGCTAAAAAATATACATTTGCAAAGGGGGAAAAAAAAAAGAAAACACACCTATTGATACCAAAGAAACAGGACACAATAGATACAAACACTCTTATATATTTCTGGGTAGAGTCTATGCAAATCACATTGTTTTTTACTGTTAAATATTGTCAGTTTCTGGAATATCAAGTACTTATTTCTAATCATAAGTATAAAAATATACTTCAAAATTTTTAAAAAGTATTTGGGGATTATGCATGCCTTGGGTACTACAGATAATTAAGACTCAGCTGTTTTAAACTTACAAGTAAGATTTTTAAATTTCTGGCATAATCTACTGAATTTCATGACAGTTAAAGTAAATTATCTGATCTGGGGAGGAATCTATTCCCTTAGAAAGGAATCTGGCTAATCTTTTATAGCGAGAGCAGGAATTTGATTTTACTGTGATTAGACGTTTTCATTAATACAAAATGAGACATTACACAGATGGAGAAAAGGAACAGATAAAAGGAGATTTTTTCCTACTGGTTCTAATTATGCCTTTGATGCTCACCAGCTTCTTGGGGATGAGCTCATCGTATTTGGTGTATTTGATGTATTTGATATTAGGTGATACGTTGGCCTGAGACGATAGTATATGAGTGTGCTGATGTGTCACGTCAGGTGCCTGGGACCAGAGTACTAATGGATATGATGCTCTGCTTTTAAAAGCTGATACAAATTCTTAACAATTCTGACTACTGAGAAAGACAGTTTCTGAAAAATAATGTTTAAACTTGTGGTTACCAAAGACGGTAGTTTGGGGTCTGCCTGATGCTTAACCTCCGATGATCTGGTGGTGGCAGGTCAGGTAGGTGGCTCTCTCACACCCACCTTGTCCTGCCTGGCTCAGTTAGGCCCCTGCTCTGGCAGCTCTCCAGGCCCCTGCTGTCAGAGAGCCTGACGGAAACTCACTTTGTGCTTCTCACATGACATGCTGAGTGCTAACCACAGGCCCCCTGAGCTGAACCCCCCAAATGTGGGTTTTTTCAGTCCTTGTGACAAACTAAGCCAAAATGATTTATTACCTTTGTCCTTTCACAGAGTATCATATCAAAGTATGCTGCACTTTCAAAAATGCCTAATATTCTTTCACATAACAATATTTATAACACAGCTCGATAAGAAGCGGGAATGGGAAATGATGTGCAGAGTAAAGCCAGATGTTGTCAAAGACAAAGAAACAGAGAGAAATCTTCAGAGAATTGCAACAAGGTAAGACTGTTCTTGCCCTTTAAAAAATAAGTATACTAAAGCTTTGATAGTGATCCATTTCTGACTAGACCTGATTCTTAAGCTCTGCCTTCTTAGAGCCATGTGATTTATATCAAAACCTGCCTACTTAATACTGAATTCAGCCAAAGGTTTTGCAGGTCTCGTGAGGCAAGAATACCATGTCCTCAGTGTATATTTGGTTTGAACCAATTTGAGATCATCTTGTTTTTATAGTCACGAGAACAGTGTAATTAGACATGCATTTCTCTTACGACGATTGTCGGAATTTATGGCACTAGATGACTGTTTTTGTTATCTTGCATTGTACTTGAGGCATAAGGAATTCTGCATTATAGCAGCTTTATGCAGGCCTTTCACTCTGCATTTTTTATTATTGGCACCAAATGTTTACTTGATGCCCTCTGTGTCCAAAGATAAATAGAACCTGGTGGCTGCTGGGTGGTCCTTGCCTACTCACCTGTAGGAATTCTAGTCTCTTTGAGACCAGAGGTATATCCTGTGTGTTGGGAACATACAGCAGCAGATTGTCAGGGCAGTGGGGAAGACTTCACAGAGGAGAGAACATTTGAGCTGCTACTTGAAGAATATAGCAATTATATGTAACGGAATTACTTTTAATTTTCTAGTTACCTACATTATTTGGGTCATTTTTTAAATCCATCTGACTGTTCTACAGTGAGATAAGAGTTTGAACAGTAGAGCCAGACTGCTGGGTTCAGATCCCAGTGCCGACTTAATCATCTGTGTGTCCTTGTGCGTGCTACCTAATTTTTCTCCATCTCAGTTTATTTACTTGTAAAAACAGTAGAATATTGTGTCCACCCTGCAGGATTTCTCTGAGAATTAAATAAATTAAAAACATAAAAAGAATTTAGAAAAGTGTATGGTTGGTGCACAAGAATAAGTACCTCCTTAAATTTTATACCTTAGGTACCTCACTTTCCTCACTTTGGTCCCAGCCCTGCTTGGAAGGCTACGGATTTTTATCCTCCTTATAAGCTAATAAGCTAGCCTGTTAGTTTCCTGGATACTGGCAGAAGACAGGAGACTTTGGGTCAGAGACAAAGGACTGTTGGCAAAGCAGTAGCCAGAGCGTCACGTTCCCACTGGTTACCATTGTCCCTCAGGGGCAACACAGGTGCCCTGTATGGATGCTTGAGTGTGCGATGGGTTGTGTTACAGGAGAACACTGTTCTTGGGAATCTGTTGCTTTTATGGTGAATGGTAACAAGCCTGCTCTTTGTCTTGGGGAGATGTTACCTCTTCCCTCAAGGTTGCATACTGTAAACTAACTCTCAGAAGTGACCTGTGTAAGGAACAGTCAGGGCCTTGCATCCTTGAAAAACTTAGCAAGAATGTACAGAGATGCTCAGGGTCCATGGCAGAGTACCTCTCCCAGTGATAGAATTTTAGAGCTGGAAAGGATGTTAATAGTTTAAATCAGTGTTGTCCACTAGAAATATAATGTGAGCCACATATATATTTTAAAATTATTTGGTAGCCACATTGAAAACAGTTAAAAAAGAGAGAGGGGTGAAATTAACTTGAGTAATGTATTTTATTTAACCCATTATATCCAAGTCATTTTTATTTTATCATGTAGTCAGTATAAAACAATTATTAATGAGATTTTAAAATCCTCTTTTTTCATACTAAGTCTTCAGAATTGAGTGTGTATCGTAAACCTGGAGTATATTGCAATTTGGACTAGCCAGTTCTATTTCATGGCTCACTAGCTCTGTGTGGCTCGTGGCTACTGTAATGGACACTGCAGGTCCTAACCTTCAGAATTCATCTTGGAATGAACTTAACTACAGAACAAAGTTTTTTGAATAAGTATTTCTTAAAACTGGATTTTAAAATTAGTTTTATATTAGAAGAATTGCAGATAATATAACTGAATATTTTTTAAGCTACTTGAGTATAATTTTTCCCATTTATATAAGAAATTGAGATCTAGAAAACCTTCTAGATGTTACAGTCAGATGGTTAGACAGCTAACTGTGAAGGCTGCTCTCTTTCCAGCACATTATGATGCCTTCAGTTATTGTAGAATTCTATTTTGAGAAATAAATGTTTTGTTAAAAGTAATTTTTAGTTCTAATTGCACAGAAGTTGATTTAGAAAGATGAAAGCTGAAAAGAAAAAATCACCTATAAATTCACGTATATTTATTCTCTGTTCAGAAATTTATATTCCTTCATTGAAATGTATGTTCATTTTTCAGATTCAGCTGTTTTCATCTGAGTGCCTATTAAATGCCTGCCTCTTTCCTAAGTGGTAAAAATACATTGTTTTCATCCTCCATGTTTGTACTCTAGTGTAATTGTATTTAATGTTGTTCTGGTCATTTTCTGTTCTATAGGGGTGTGGTACAGCTATTCAATGCTGTTCAGAAGCATCAAAAGAACGTTGACGAAAAGGTTAAGGAAGCCGGAAGCTCAATTAGAAAACGTGCTAAATTGATATCGACTGTTTCCAAGAAAGATTTCATCAGCGTTCTGAGAGGGATGGATGCAGGTACAAGTGAGAAAAGTTCGAGTGGAAAGAACTTGAAAGCCAAACAGGTAAGACTTTTATGTAGGATTCAGTACATCTGACTTTTAGCTCTTAAACTAAAGTTTTGGGGTGAAAAAGCACACTGCAGATGTAAAGGTTTGGATTCTTAAGCTTCATGATGATTTATTCATTATGGAAGTTGCCAGGTAAAAGTGACATACGTACCCCTGCTGTTAGTGGTCGGGAACCAGGGGAGTCAGAGATGGAGCGGGATCTCTGTATCTGAAACCCTGCCCATTGTGCCTTTTGGAGAATAGAAACCTGAGTGAGGGATACGGCTTCGGTTTGAGATGTTCACTCACAGAGGTAACCGTGATGGTGTGTAACTTCAAAATATGAAGGGTCGGAGCTTTGGGGAACACGGTGGAGACGAGCTTTGGGGAACACCGTGGAGAGTCATCCTTGTGCTGAGGCCGCTTGGTGATGTCTGACCGGTTGCAAGATAAGAGTATAACTACCATCTGTAACGTCTGGCACCGTAACTTTGCTTCTCCAGTTCTTTCCACCTGTGGGCCCCAATAGTTTCCTTCTTAATGTGCCAGGTGAGAGGTTCTGAAATGTGCTGCACTTTCCGTAGGGCTGTTTTTGTTTTTCAATGAAAGCGAAGTGCAGGTGTACTTGATGGCTTCATTTCTGTTGCATCGGGGAATGGAGTCTCTGTTAGAAGTTGTTTGCTTGTCTTTCGGTTTGCCATTTGAACCTCTGGCAAGAAGGGCATTCAGGAATTTCATGCTAGCCTAGGGCTTCAAGTATTTTTTCAAGTTATTTGACTAAGTTGCCATTTTACCTAATTTTGACAAAAGTTTTCTAGGCTGTTTAACTTTATCTCTTGCATATTAAGGGGCCCCAATTTTTTTTTAATTATCTGTATGATACTGATGCTCACTGGTGCTGCTCTTTTAAAGTGTTTGTCAGAAATACGTATAAACACATGAATACTGTATTTGGGGATGTATGCTTTTTAGTTAAAAAAATCTAACCTTCTTTGTTCTCACAAGGGACATTTTACTCTAAAAATTAGAGAAAGACCCAGCAGCATTGAGCAAGAAAGAGCCAGCGGGAAGATGGAAAAAGAAAGATCTTTGTTGTTTTTCTTTTTTTCTGTTCATTTCAAAATAATTTTTAATAGAAGCATTTGTTTTGCTTTGGGATTTTTTTTTCCATGAGTTGTGAAAAGACATAAAGAGTTCTTTCCAGTGCCATTGTTTCTTCTTTCTTACCATTTGCATTTTTGCTCTTGACTTCCTTTTATTCTACATCACTGTCAAACCAGTGGCTTTGCTCTCAAAATAATTTGTTTCTAAAACTTCTTACCCCATACTAACAACACTTTGGCACATTTATTTTTAAAATGTTGCTTTCACTGTGATTTCATTTTTGTGGGAAAACCACCAGAGTCATTATTTTTATTGGGCTTGGTTTTGCATGTGAATAACGTAAAAAAAGTAATATAGTATTTCTGATAGGGTCATTTATTAATATCAAAAATATTTACTAAGTGCCTGTTTGTACCTGGTGCTATCCTTGTATCTTTTAAAGTCTTACAATTCAGACGGACAGATGACTTAACGTAAATAAGATTAACAGATTCTACATTAATATGTCTAGACTGCACGTTATCAGTTACACTAGGCATAGTAAGAGGTAAATTCAGTGACTGCCCTTTTTGTGGGAGAAGTTTTGATTTAACTGTAATATGGATTTAGGACGTAGGTCAGCAAACCTATGAAGTTACTTGAAATAGATGGACTTTTTAAGAGAGAGAGAGAATCCCAAGCAGGCTCCACATCATCAGCGCAGAGCCCATCGCGGGGTTCGATCCCGCAAACTGTGAGGTCATCACCTGAGCTGATATCAAGAGTCAGACGCTTGACTGAGCCATCCAGGTGCCCCAGAATGGGTGGATTTTAAAGCAGTTGAAGAGGAGACAAGTTAAAGGTGGGAATGGTGGGCCAAAATGCTATTCAGAAATTAGAAATAGATTAATGAAATGGATAAAGGAGGATATTAATTAAGTAAAAAATAAGATTTTCCTTTTTTTCTCCTATTTTGCCTTTTCTTAGCACCATTGCTATTGCTGTTGCACATCTTCCTAATAGATGCCTCTTCCCTTCTCAGTCTTAACAGAAGAGCTTTTGTGAAAGTTCTCATTGTCCCTTTCCTGGGCATAATGGGTCAGAACCCAGGCTTTTCATCCTGTATTCCTAATGTTATGAAATCTTTAAAATTTAGAGTCAGTCCATGTATAAACTGCATTCACTGGCAGCTGTCTATCAGAATGCCAGTCTGGAAAACCTTCTTTATGTCTTCAATTCCTTAACCCTGTCCTGTTATTCATAGTTGTGGCATTAAAGTCTTATGTTCAAAAACAAAAAAAAGCCAGCAGTTTCATGTTAAGAAAGCCGGATAGAATTATAATAATAAAAACTAGAGATTGGATCCATTATACGAACATACATTAGGAGTGTGTTTGTTTTTGTTTTGTTTTGCTTTATTTTATTCTTCAGAAACACTTAGAACTTGGGCTGATGTGTTGGCTGATTATATGTAGTGGGTGGCATGGTAGCTCCTTAAATGATAAGTCCATGTTCTGATTCCCAGAACCTGTGAATGTGCTTTATTTAGAAAAGGGGGCTTTGCAGATATAATTAACTTAAGGATCTTGAGGTGAAGAGATCATTCTGAATTGTCTGGGTGGGTTCTAAATCCAGTGTTAAGTATCCTTACAAGAGATGCACAGGGGAGATTTGCCAGACAGAAGTAGGAGGAGGCAGAGTAACCACAGAGTCAGAGAGGAGGCTGATGTGGCCCACGAGGCAGACAGCATTCAGTATGTAGGCTTGTTCAGTACAGTCTCCTGTGTTAATCAGTGTTCCTGAGTTCAAGACTTTTCTGGTTCAGTATCTTCAGATACTGAACTGTCCATGTTAAGGTCTGTCACCAGCCTCCATCAGCCAGGGAGGGAACTTAGAAGTCTAACTGCTTCTTAACACAGACTGTCAGCCAATCTTGTATTTTTATCACACCGTCTCACCTCCACTTGCCCCCTCGCATCCAGTTCCTAAGCATGGATCCAATTTCTCACTTAAACTTTAGCTTTTTCTTCTTTCTAATTGGTTACCACTACTCTATCCAGTTTTCATTTATATCCCAAAACTTGTTGGCATATTGTGTCTATAATTATTTTGTGTTGTTTCCTTGTTTGTTTATAACTTTTATACTTTTGATTTTAGTTGGCTTTCCATAAGAATTAGAGATAAATACATGTCTGCTATTTAATTGGAAGTTTTCCTTTTTATTTTAAAAGCAAAGAGGTTAATCTTGTAACTTCCTGTTGCTTTGATGGAATTATTGGTAGTCTTTAATTTTAAGGGGTGCCTGGGTTGCTCAGTTGGTTAAGTATCTAACTCTTGGTTTCCGCTCAGGTCATGATCTCACAGTTCGTGAGTTCAGGCCCCATGAGTTCAAGCCCCATGTTTTCAAGCCCCATGTTGGGCTCTGTGCTGACAGCCTGCTTGGCGTTCTCTCTCCCTCTTTTTGTGCCCCTCCTCCACTTGCACACGTATGCACTGTCAAAAATAGAATAAAAACTTTTTAAAAAGTAAACAAAAAAATTAATTGTAAAAATATTTCACTAACAGTAAATCTTTAAATATTTGATAATAGAAAATTTAAAAAATTTTTTTGTTTATTTTTATTTTTGAGAGAGTGAGTGGGGGAGGGGCAGAAAGAGAGAGACTCTGAATCTGAAGCAGGCACCGAATCTGAGCTGTCAGCACAGAGCCCAATGTGGGGCTCAATGTGGGGCTCAAACTCGGGAGCTGTGAGATAATGACCCGAGCTGAAGTCGGATGCTCAACTGACTGAGCTATCCAGGCGCTCTGATAATAGAGATTTTTTAATGTTTTGAAGTGGATTATTTAAAAACTACTTGTTTATAAACATTTTTCTAAAGTTTTAGCCTTATGGAGGGGAAAATGTCCATGTAAAGCAGATACGTGCATTTCCTGCATTTTTCTGGGTCTGCATCTTCTTGGAGGCAAGCTTTATGAACATCCCTATTCCTTTTAGGATCTTTAGATATCTAAATTCATGCTCCGGCATGTGTGTGGTTAACGTTGTTTCTTAGAAAATAAAGAAAAGAGAGGGTATGATTTAAAAAATATATATATAATATATTGATTTTGTTTTTTAATCTGATAAGCAGAATTAGTAAATCATCTCTTTACTGTCACATAGCTGTGACCTTCCTTTAAATCTGTTTGAAGGGTCATTTGTATTATGCAGCATACATCTACATTTGATTTATTTCATTTTATATTTTTATATTTATTATTTTTGTGAGTTACAACTTTAACTGTTAAAAGTCTGCTTGTTAATGGTTGAAAACCATAATCTTTTTCAAAGGCTTTTGATTCCTAGATAGGAGCATATTTTTTATATGTTCCAAAGACTGCCTTTCATATCATTAGCTATTTATCAAGGTATTTTTAATCTTCTGATTCTGCTGACTTGGAGAATATTGTTGCCCTTGAATTTTTTAAATCTGTTTTTTCTTAATTTTATTATATGCCGTCATTATTTCTGGAGTAAAGGCTTTCTGGGAAAGCCTTCCTTAGAAGCCAAAAAGGTATGATTGCTTTTTAAAGATCATTTGTAGGGCAAGGGAGTTTGAAAAGACATAAGTTAAAAGATGTCAAACTGATATGTTAAATTACATTTGAGTCCTTAATTACTATACTTTATTTCTTGGAGCTGAGCCTGGATCCTGCAAAGTAAAACAAAAAGGTACTTGATGGGCTCATTTTAGAAGAGATAACAGCTAATATCTGTAAATCAAAAAGCCTTCAGTAGAACTTAGGGTAAGTAGTATTCTAAGTATTTTTCATCTATTAAACAAATGAGTTGTTTCTTCTGTTACATATGAAAGGGTTAACTTTTTTTTCTTAATAACAATTGCACATCTTTTTCATTATGTTAACTCAGGCCATTTGTACAGTGGATATCC